CCCCTTTTATTCAGTTGTCCTCGGTCGGAGAAACGAGAGACGGTGGTCAACGCATCTAAAATATGACTGGCTGAATCCCTGCTGAGGCCAACGACTGCCACTATGATTCTCAGCGTCCGCATGGTAGGGAGATGACTCGACTATCACTTCCCCACCTACGGGACCATTGGGATTTTCTCCGTAAGACTCCTTTCCTTTTGATGGGGTGGAGAGGGGGTATGGAGATAAGTGAATGCATTGACTTGGTGTGGAGACACATCAGATACTATCACTTGGGCTAGCCCGCCAGTCAAGAACGTTTTAAGAGCGTGGCCGCTATGTAGAGTACGGCTTCGTGGAGCCAAAGATCGCAGATGGAACCCTAGAGCAGACGAGCTAGAAGTGCTCGCCAGGTTTATATATGGGCTTGGCGGAACTGTTGTGACTAGCACTCGTCGAAGTGAATTTTCCCGAAGGTCAACAGCCGTTGATCGCGACGTCTGGGAACAGCCAATCACAGTTGACGCAAAGTTGCTTTCTGGCCCGGCGACGAATGGCAAGCCTGCATGCGTAATTGCTTCCTCTGCCCACTGGCCTGACTGCTGTTAAATTGGCACTTGGACCCGGCTGGCCCTCCTGGCTGATCGTATGCTCCCAACTCAAATCTCTTTCCATCCATTCTCCGTTCCTCTGTGTACACAATATGCTACTCCTACTATTCTGGCCTCAACTGACTTCTCCTCTTCCAAGGAACCATGGTCTGAAGATCGCAGTAGCTAGAGTTTAACTTACTTCACCCCCGGCGATAGAACCTTCAGTGCATTCCCATGGGACAGCCAGCGAAACGCATTCATACATACTAGCCGGCAATGACCGACGTGCTTTGTCGAAAATAAGCCCGCACCCTTTCAGAATCGTTATACCACATCCTACTATGAGCCTGAGCATAAGGCACCTCCATTGGCTCCAACTGTCGATCCGACGTGCGTATCGGCACCACTATTCTATCGTCTGTTTCATTGTCAAGCCCCGTACAAGCGACCTGAGGGGACTTCGGTCTTTCCCGTATCAGGCGCAGGCATATTCGCACGCCCTGCGCGCGCGTGCGTCGCCAGTGATCACAACTAGACCTCCGAACAGAATAAGGTCTTCATACTGGTAGCCTTCCCATACTCATTAACGAGATTGTAGTGGTTAGGACACATCCACTACCTTGGATTTCAAATGCATCCCCCCGATTTGTCGAAAACAACTCGATTAATGACTGCTCGTCGCTATGCGATCGTTTGCGAGGCCTTTAGATCCCGGACCCAAAGCAAAGCGCGTTCTCCTGACCCCACTCTTGCGACCGAAAGTGACAAATGCACAACAAGCCAAACTTCCAAAATATGCCATAATTTTTTATGTTTATAGTAGGTGTTCTACCTTACGCAATGGTAAACGGAATTCCAAAATGTATGTATTTGGCTAAAAAAGGTTACTCACAATTAGAGTTATTTCACTAATTATCGTGCCGCGTAATTCCAACATATTTCAGTCATCACGTCAGGATGCCGGGTTTTCACAAGTGTTCATTCGGCCGCCGGCGACAATTACAGTCTACCAGAAAGGACTACCTTATAAATTCAAATATTTTATACAAAATATACACACAAATATACTTTCTTGTACTCCTTTGGTAACGAATTAAGATTTCTTTAACTGCTACACTTGAAGAAAGAGTATTATCGCAGGGGTTAAGTAAGGTAACCCTAGCAACCGCGATTTTCAGACCATGGTTATTTGTCGAGAAGTCTAGGAAAGGCCGGATTGTTAGGAACAGTATATTGTGTACACAGAGGAACGAAGAATAGATGAAAGAAGTCGGACTTGGGAGCACACGACCAGCCAGGACGGCCAGCCGCGTCTAGGTGCCAGTTTGACAGTAGTCAGGCCAGTGGGCAGAGAAAGCAATTCACGCGTGCAGTGTGGCTATTCATCCCCTGGCCAGAAAGCAGTTTTTGCGGCAACTAAGTTTCGCTGATCCAGGCGTCGAGAACCGCAGTCGTGTGATTCTAGTCTAGTTCACTTCGATACGAGCTAGTCACTACAGTATCTCCTGGGTTAAAATAAATTTTCATTTAATTTCTAACTCACAATTTCTAATTTCGCCGTCGCAATATCGCTCATGGTTTCCAAGATTCATGTCGTATACAATCCGCCCAGGGAAAATTACATATTTTTCTCCGTCCTTCGGAAGAGGTTATATAGCGCTCGTACACTGTTATAATGGATGCGGACCATGTTGTGTATGTAAAGAGCAGCATTAACAAACGGACAAATGAGACGCGTTATTACTTAACATTTCACGGTCTTAAAAATCGCATAATAAGAAAATTTTTAAGACAAAAAGATGTCCTCTCTTCACGCATAAAATTTGAAGCATACGTAATTACCTACCAAATGAGCAGAAGAAACAATGCATTGTACGTTTGTTTTTCTTAAAAAATATGTGTGCTTTCATAAGGGCATCAAAACTCGATGAGAAAAAATCAGTCTAACTGAGTAGTAATTTTTTACGGTGTCGTTTGTGCAGGCGGCTGAGAGAAACCTCGTCTAAAAGCCGGCGTAATGACGTGAGATTATGCCACAAGTTAAGAAATATTACGGCCCTACCTAGGTATTCATTTCTAAGAGAAAACAAATTCTAGAATTCCATGTCCACGCGGCGTCCATTCCCATGCTATCTTATCGTGCGTCTCCTGCGCGCGTCCCTGGAGTCACGCGCAGCCAACGCTTGCTGTTTTCTCATTCTCACTGACGATGGCTTCTCGTGTGGAGCCGAAAGCTCAGGACAATAAATTAATTGATCCGGTGCTCAACTCATCTCCTTCCTTATCCAACCAGATACTTGGAACGCTAACTTTCTCATTAATTCGGGAAGAATTTTTGGAAATTTTTGACGAGTATTTGATCGGGGAGTCCGATCCTCTATTTTGCGTGGATACCACAGTCGAAAAACAAACTTTCCCTGCCTTTATAACACCGAAACAAGCCCTCCGAGAAGAAGTGCTAACCAGTGTTTGTGATAAAATTAATGGAGGCCGGAAATGACCAGCCGGAGAAGAGTAGGGTTCAGACGATATAGACGGATGGATCATTCGAATGTTATATTTGAAAAAATGTTATTCAGATGCAGAGTGGCGTGGAATCAAAACCTGCATGCAGCACGCCTCTGACAATATTCAGTGGTTACGCTGTCAAACCCGACGAGTACATGAAGACTTCGGCATGAAATTACGCCTCTATGAACAACACACTTCGACTGAAGTCGTTACAGTTGTACCACTTCAGATAACAGGCTATGAGAGATTAACACAACTGGGAAATTATTAGGAGGGAAACATGGCACCAGCCGCAGTCAATACAAAGACCATCCCATCTCACACTGAACATCCTACCGGTGAGTTAGAAGCGGTGGACCTTTCGGTTGTTTACATAACCGATATGCGTATGCCCCTGAATGAACTACGTGTTTCCTATGCCAGTCACTTATTTGTCCTGTGCATTCCATTAGAAATCTAGAACTTCCTTCCCCTGCTTAATGCTTCTGCTGTCTGACACCAGTCTTCGAACAGGTACGCGTGTTAAGTGGTTCCATTCATTTTCAAATCCTCGTTACGAATGAGGTTGAGTAGAATAAAGTGACATATGACGCGTTCGCTGCATGCCAGTTTCCTCTACCCGGTGTATTAAACCGACCACCACATTAATGCGAGGGTCACACTGTTTTTGATTGTTGAAAATTCTCGCGAGCGACCCGGCCCTTCTGCGAAATACTACTGATCTCGAAACAGGAGGTAAGAACACGCGTCACAGTGAACACGTATTGTAATCGACATTTGTCGTAGAATAAGAGTCACGTACTTGATAAATGCATGCGAACAACTACTCACGACTGAAAATTTTTCTTTCACAAGGTAATAGCAAAAGTGATATGGGTAGGAGGCAATACACCTGGCAAGTTCGGCGTCACGATCTCCGTGCATTCAATCGACACCCCAACATCTAATTACTTGACAAATGGGGCTGAACAGTGTACCATTGTTCTGTTTGGCTACCAAGACCCAAACTTCGAAAGCCTTATCCGAGAATTCAATCGTCTGATTAAGCAGCTGTCCGGGAGCATGACAACCTCGAAAATGTATTAATTCTACACAAACTGTTTGTTCCCTATAAAATTCTCGCAAGTGGGTGCTCCGATTATCAGATGGATTTCAATTCGCGTAAACCAGCTAAAAAGTGATCCTCGGTTCCGCTTAGGATATGCGAGCAGTATTAAAATAAACGAAAAGGGCTCTTGTACTTGTACTTATTACGGCTGTGATCATGCCTGATCTTGCCGACCTTGATGGTATCACGGGCGGTACCTCTCCATGCGTGACGATTGGTGGCAGCGGATCTGGAGAGCTCCACCCAGTCTCTTC